GGCGAGTAGTGGAGCAAGGCCTTTTATCAACACTAACTAACACAGTAGCCGATGCGCACCATTTCCAGGCGTGGATAGGGTCAATTGACTAACCCACGAAATGTGTGAGAAGTGTCGCGTTGCAATGTGTGTGAGGAGTGGAGCTGTATAGAGGCATTCCTTTTTTTTTTCCTGTTCTGGACAAGTCGTATGGATTTCAATTTTGTGTGGTTCCTTGCTGCTTGATCCTTGACAACAGTAAGCGTTTAAGCGTTTAATAACTTTGAAAAGTGTGATTTGATTTTGGCAACGAAATGATAAGGTGTTTGTGTCGAGCAGTTGCATCTAGTAAATTGCATGTCACCTTGGAAAAATTTGCAAGCAGGGCGCTAGCCAGACTTCTGAGGTCTCTGCTTTGACATGCACCAATATTCATCACCAAAGGAGCGCTAGCAATGAAGAATTTCGGGCCGGTGGCCTATTCAGTAGTCTCATGAAAGACATAAATCTATGGATTGTTGCCTACAGTTAGCTAGCGGCGTAGCGCCTAATCCAGGCTCCCATGAAGGCACTGGGGGAACAACGATAGATGGCACCTCTCTATGAAGTCACCCGAGGCTTCCAGGACAGAGGAAAATGCTCCTTCCTGAATTGACTGCCCCATCTGGTTCCAGTGAAAACTGTGAAACATTCGGTTTTGTCGGAGCGCCGACGTAGTAATTAACAAATTCATTAGTAATGACGAGTGGGATAAGTTTGCGCCTCCTCGAAGAGAGGAAGGCAAGGGTGGTACGCCTTTGGACTTCAATCACGTTCAGTCGCTGATCAGTGGCAGGGTTCACGCACATGGCTTGTTAGTTTGCAGGTTTGTGTATGCAGAACCATTAGGCTAGAGTGCAGAATGGGGTTTTGGCGCATCATTTGGTTGGCTGCTTTCGTCATTGATGTATGTGTTCCACTAATTGCAGTCAAAAATTTGGATGACAGTACTGGGACTGGCGTGGTCTTCGGCTGAATGTGCCCATGATTACCGACCAATACCTTACAGATAATCTCCATGCAGGTATGCTCTCATTCATCATGTGACTGCCTGTGCTCTTCCCAGCTGTCCAAAGTTCTTTTTCAGGCCAAGCTCGCTCGATTTTCACCTTCAAGAAGCCGAGAAAAGGAGTTTATAACTTCATGCTGCATTGGGCGAAGGCCCAATCAATCAATGGTATTGCAGACACAGCTATCCAGTAGGCTGCTGAGCTCCTATGCTTACCTCAGGGCCAGAGAGCACATCTTGTAAATGGGTGAAGGATGTGATAGAACCAACCACCGAATATTGATGCGAGCCTCACTGCATGTTATCCTGTGCCGACTTTACGATCAATCAATATGAACTTGGTTAAACAAGAAGCCAAGACTCATAGTTTGCTAGGTCTTGCACACGTGCATGGGGCCCGGGTCAGTGCCCCACGCAGGAGCTAGGGATATGGGCCTGATTGGGGCAATTTCCCATTAGTCAATGAGTTGTTCCAAACAACGGACATTATTCGTTGGTAAGCAAGAACAGACCAGAGCCGGAATGGACAGGACAACTGGGTCTATGGAGGCGGGTGTAAGGTAGGAAACACAGGGGAAGACTCCCACTTAAATCACTAGTACATGGCCCCAGCCGTGTGGAAATTGTTCGTCACCTCCGAAAAAGCCGGAGGCGGTGCGCCGTCGATAAAATACATCGGCGGCTGGTGCCTATGTATGGCATTTACGGGTGGTTTAAGGTCATTCTCATGAGACCATACCCACACTTGTTACCCAAGCTGAAGGCCGGACCTTTTGGACTACTTGTTTGCGAAGGCCGCAAGGTCATTCACTTGGGGCCAGAGGCCACTGGACTATTGGTGTAAGGGAAGCAATGCCAAGTCGTCCGTGCCGAGTTCTGCTGGATGTTGGACTTACCAAGAACGTAAGATTAGACAGGTGAGGGGTATTCACATGAGGATCTTCCTCGATGTATCTGACCACGCCTGTTACGGACTTCGCCAGGGCTCGATTCCTGGTCTATCTTTTGCTGTTTCGGCTGCATCCCGTTTTCGGCCTGGCACCCTTTTTCCAAACCCCTCCTTTGGTACCGTAGGATTTCAGACAACTGGCGCCATGCTGCAATTCGGGCGCCACTTTCAAATACTGCATTTTTCAGTTCTGCCCTCGGGGCCTGCCCCTGGTACCGTACGTGTCACCGGTACTTATACCGGCTCCCCGT